ATGTGTAAGGTCTTATAAAAAAACAATAAATAACTATAGCACTAGATAACCTTTATAAGCTAATTCTACAGCTAAATTATAAAGGCTAGGTAATAAAAAGGAGCAGGTAATTATTAAGACTATACTTAAGCTATATGCGCAAGGAATTTCCTCTTAAATAGCATTTATAGCTAATATAGCTAATTCTTTGCGCGCTAAGCATAATCTAGGCTATATTTACATAAACTAGTCTAGTACATTTATAAAGTGTTATTTAGAGCTTAAAGTAACATTTAAACGTAAGTATAACTATAAAGAAGCTTTTTATAAGAGTTCTAGGGTAATTTAGAGCAGGTTTAGCCTTGTAAAGAATATTAAAGCTAAGTATAGCATCTAGAATAATAACACATAACTTTAGTAAAATAAAGTTTATAATTAGCTAAATATCTTTTAACTATACTTACGCTTAAAACTTTACTTTAAGCTCTAAATAACACTTTATAAATGTACTAGGCTAGTTTATGTAAATATAGCCTAGATTACGCTTAGCGCGCAAAGAATTAGCTATATTAGCTATAAATGCTATCTAAAGAGAAATTCCTTATGTATATAGCTTAAGTATAGTCTTAATAATTACCTGCTTCTTTTTATTACCTAACCTTTCTAATTTAGCTGTAAAATTAGCTTATAAAGGTTATCTAGTGCTGTAGTTATTTATTATTTTTTATAAAACTCTACACATAGCTGCAGCACATTTTTTTAAGAGTTTTCTGTCTTGTTTAAAAGCTTAAAGCGTAAGCTATATCTAATGTTCTTTTAGCGCGTCTAAGTAGTGTTGTAGAGAATGCATTAATGTAGAAAGGGTAGTTTAGTAGGGTCTTATAAGGACAGAGCTCTGTACCACTACGCTAATACAACTAAAAAGGTGCGAATAATTAACTAACGTTAATTATTGCGTACAGAATAGTATATATACCTGTTGCACGTAAGCACTATCTTAGCCTTACATTATCCCCCTTCTTAGCAGACGCATGTCCCAGGCGTTAAATGACCTACCCGCAGCTCAGAGGCGCCTATGCGCATGTCTTAGTTACTGGCCAGAGGCTGACCACCTGCGGCCTAGAGGCGCGGGATAAACACAACGCAACGCTTAGTGGCCTACGCTAGCTAAGCTATATACACTAGACCTCCTAGCAGCAACAACGTGGCGCTAGAAGAGGCTGCCTCACGTTTTAGTCTAAAAACTAGCTAAGCTGTCTAAGGTGTAGGTTAAACGCACAACTGTCCTTGTTGTTAGTTAATTATTATGTAAGAACAAAGCTTTATACTACTACGCTAATACAACTAAAAAGGTGTAAATAATTAACTAACGTTAATTATTGTGTACAGAATAGTATATATACCTGTCGCACGTAAGCACTATCTCGGCCTTACAGGTCTTAGCAAAAGTAAGCAACTTAGGTGTGTAAGCAACTTAGGTGTGTAAGCAACTTGCCTGTAAAGTACGTTACTTTAATTTACTTTTTTTATATAATTTATATTATATAGTAGCTTTATTAGCTACTTAAAACTTAGTAGTTTTTTATTATACTAATACTAGCTTATATATAATTATTACTACCTTTTTTAAAACTTTTTTAAACACTTTAACTATAAAAGTTAGTAAACTATTTATATACTTTTAAATTTTTATTTTTATAAGTATTAATTATAACTTAAGTTTTAAAGTATTACTTAGAGTTTATAACTACTAGAGCTTATTATATATAAGTAGTAGTAGTAATAAAGTGCACAACTTTATATTAAGGCCTATTATAACTTATTATAAGTTAAAAGAAACTAATTTAGCACTTTAAAACTTTTTTAAATATTACTAAAAGTAATTATAGCATTATAAGCTACTTTAAAGCATAGTAAAAACTTTATTTTTATAATATAAGTAATTTAGTTATATATAAAGTTTTTAGCTTAGTACTTATATACTTTTTTTAAAAGAGTAAAATAACCTACATTAAGTAGCAATAAAAAGTGTAATAAGTAAAAAAGTATATAAATAGTAATAATTTTATTATTTTTATAGTATTACTAAAAATAAAGTAAGTTATAGCTTTAATAGCTATTAATAACTAGTAAATAGTAGCTACTAATAGTACACCTTTTTATATACACATTAAAGTGCTTTAACTAGTCTAGACTAAGCTAATTAGTAGTCTAGCTACACTTAAAGACTATAATAACTTAATTTTAAAGTAGATTTTTTTTATACTAGTTTAAAAAGTAATTACTACTTTAAAAAATAATAAAAAGTAAAATAGTCTACTTTTTAGCATTACTGCTTTCAATAGCTATTATTTACTCTTAGTTACCTAGCTAGACTGCTTTTAGCTGTTCTTAACTCTCTAAACTTATAATAACTACTTTAGTAGATATTTAGCCTATTATAAACTTTATTTTATTAAAGTTATATATGTTATTATTTTAAATGCTATACTTAGCTTTAATATTTTTTATAAAGTTAAACTAGCTTTAAATTACTATAAAATTTTTATAAAAAGCTTTTTTATAGTTATACTTATATTTAAACTTTACTTTAAGCTTTAAGTAGCACTTAATAAATATATTAAGCTAGTTTATACTAATATAGCTTATATTATACTTAGTGTAACGGCACAGGCAAGACAATAGGTCTAAATGCGGTGGGAATCTACTTAGAGGCATATGGGAGTGCGTGGGGACTCAGAACCTAGGAATGCCATTAACACCTATAGGCCTTGTACAAAAGGATATTAGAAAACTACTAAGCTAGCTATAGAGGCAAGGTGCGACTAAATACATAAGGGAATAGGGGTAACAGGAGGGGTTAAGGCTAGGTCAGGGTCGGGGCTGATACAGGGGCCTTCTAGGCCATCTAAGATGGAACGATTCATGAGGATTGTTACACTTAGTGTGTAAAAAATTAGCTATATTAGCTATAGCTACTAGCTAGAGGGGAAATTCTTATATATCTAGCTTAAGTATATGCTAAATAATTACTTACTTTTTATTATTATCTAGCTTTTATAAGTTAGCTATATAATTAGCTTAAAAAGGTTATTTAGTGTGTTAGTTACTTATTATGTTTTAAAAGACTTTATAAATAGCTATAGTGTGTTACTTAAAAAGTGTTGCATTTTATTTAAAAGCCTAAAGTATAAGCTGCATCTAATGTTCTTTTAACACATCTAAGTAGTGTTATTAGAAATGCATTAGTGTAGAAAGAGTAGTGTAGTATAGTCTTAGCAAAAGTAAGTAACTTAAGTGTGTGAGCAACTCGCCTATAAAGTACGTTAAAGAGCGCGCGCTAGAAGTGTATCTTCCTCTTCTACTTTATTTAAAGCTCTACCTAGCTGTTAACAAAGCGTAATACCTAGCACTTGCCTATAGGCAGTAGTAGAGGATCTTAGCTATGTGCTTAAAGTAGAGGATTTGCTATTTAACACACATTAATAATATAGAGTAGAAAGCTATGTTAAGGTCTAGAATCTAGGAAATAAGTAACTACTTTTTAATAGGCAATAGCTTATAGTTAACTAAGATTGTCTTACATTTTAAAAAGATACTACTAAGGCGCGTTTAGAGGGTAGATTCTAGTACATTATAGACTGCAGTAGTTACATAAATTAATAGATAAAGGTTAGACTTAATTAAGATAAAAGTAAGCTAAAGCCTACCTTCTTTTGCTAAAGATTAGGCTTGTAACGTACCTAACGGGTTGGCCGGCCACACGGGTTGGCCGGCCACTTTTGCTAAGCCCCCACTAACCTCTACCTATCTACATAATGCCTTAACAACAACACTAGATTAAATCTTCTAAAGAACATTAGATATAGCTTGCTCTTTAGGCTTTTAAATAAGACTTAAAACTCTTCTTGCAACGCGCTGCAGCTATCTATAATGTCTCTTACACAACACTAAGCAATTAACGCGCTAGACAGCCTTTATAAGCAGAATGCTAGCCTAAATTAAGAAATCTAACTAAGCTTAAAAAGAAGGTAGTTGTTAAGTATATACTTAAGCTTATTACACACAGATTTCCCTCTAAGCTTGCAGCTATAGCTAATATAGCTAATTCCTTGCCTGCAGAGCGCAATCTAGGCTAGGTTAGCTTAAACTAGACTAGTATGTAGGTTAAGCACTGCTCTAAGTTTATAATAAAGTTTAATTATAAGTATAATTATAAGAGAGCGCTTTATAAGGATCTAGAGGTTATTTAGGGCTAGTTTTGCCTAGTAGCTAATATAAAAGCTAAGTACAGTATCTAGGATAAAGACAGGTATAACTTTAACAAGTTAGGCTTTATAATAAGCTAGATATTAACTAGAGTAGTTGTTACAGCTTTAGAGAGATAAAAACAGCTAAAGGCAATATAGTAAGGTAATAAGAAGTAGATAACAGTTATCTAGGGCATTAACATAACAGGGTAGGCTATAAGATTATAAAGCTTTAAGCAGTAAATAAGGCTGCTACATAATGTAAATCACATAAAAGAAAGCAGATTTAGGCAGAAAGGACCTTAATAGTTAAGAATAGGGCTTGTCTAACTGCTCTAAAGGAGTTTAGAGCGCGTAGTAATAGGAAGAAGCTAAAGACGCAGGTGCGCGCTAAAGGAGGTAAGCTAAGTTAAAGGTAATGCAGGTAGTGTAATTAGACTAGGCATAACTTGCGTACATGTAAGCAAGTAGCAGAAGTAGACTCTAAATAATATCTTATGTTGTATTACTTTATATAGGGCTAAAGTGGGCTGTTTTGCGAGAGAATGGGGTGGTTTTAGTAGGGGCTTGGCAAAAGTGGCCGGCCAACCCGTGTGGCCGGCCAACCTGTTAGGTACGTTAGTTGTTAAGCTATAGTTAAAGATGTGGGCGCAGTTTCGCGCGGTTGGGTGGGGTGCGCAGCTTACTGACAAAACACGTTACTTAGCGCTTTGGCTAGATTTACAGTGCCGCATTGGTCACCACTATATAGACCACCACGAGGCGGGTTTCCTATCATCCAATTCAAACCTCTTGTCATAGTTTACCAATCACATGGAAACCGAACCATGACTACTTACCAACTTGGACCCTTGGTAGGCGGGACAATCCACCAATACGCAAATGCCGTTGGCCAAATCTATTACTGCGATACTGTTGCAGGGACGACAAGTTATGCAATCCCGGAGGGGTTCCAAGATGTCGCAGGCGTACGTTATTCCCGTCTCGTAGACCAGTCAACAGGTCCCAATGTTGTGCCGCTGATGGTAATACTGGATAGGATACCTGGGCCCTCGACACGACAAAGAGTTGGCCACAATGGTACGCACGGTGCATGGCGCATGCACTACAAACCACGCTGAACAATGCCCTCCAGGAACAACAACAGAACGGGGAGGGCAGTCCTCATCAACCCTAACCCTCCACCGCCTCAAACATACCTCGACGATATCAACGTCAAGGCTGCCCTCAACCTTCTGATTAAGATACCGGACTCGAGCGAACGAATCTACCGAAGGCCTATAGGAGACATCCTTCGCTTCATCTTCCCCTCAAGCGAAGGATTTTCTGTCGTCTGGGAGGCGGTGTCTGTCAATACCCAACCCGACTTCTACGTCTTTAAAGTTCTTCAAAGGCCCGGCAGAAGCCTATACCAATACGAGTACATGCTCATGGAATGCAAGAAGGCGGGAGAGTCTTGGGAACACACAAAAGATCATTTCTACAAACATCTCGCAGAAAATGGGAACGATTCCAAGAATTGCTACGGAATGGTTCAGATTGGGTTTAATGTGCAATTCTGCAAGTACGAAAATTACAATTTTAGCGAGGTTGGGGAAGTGATGCACCTCATCAATAATGCCAACGACGTTATAGCCTGGGGTCGACACATCAAGGATAATCCCATGCCGTTTCTGTAGACTAGTAGGTGGGTCGTCAATGGGTGTGACGGATATCATACAGCTAATTTCAGATGGAGATCTTCCAGGTTTTCTATTGGTTTTATAAGGGATATCCACGGCTCTGGAACATGTGCTGGCTATCTTGCCTGATATAAGAGAGTGCGACTCACTATCCATCCATAGTTTATGCAATCGTCAAGCTTCCTGCTGTGCAATAGATTGATAGATTAAATTAATATCTTAGAATAGGCGTTTCGAATACGTTTAATTATTAATAGGCTAAACATTAATAGTGTAAGGCTAGGATGGCGCTTACGTGCGACAGGTATATATACTATTCTGCACCCGAAAATCAACGTTGGTTGATTATTCGTACCTTTTGGTTGTATTGGCGGAGTGGTGCGGAGCCCCGTCCTTACAAATAGAGATTACTATTAAAGTAGGCGCGCACACATAGCGTTTAGTTTAGAGAACACTGCTAGTATTACAAAGGAATATTTTAGAGTAAGAACACCTAGCTAAATTAGACTAGTTTTAGTTTAAAAAAGTAAAGAATATAGTTAATAGTAATACTTTTTTACTAGAATTACTACTAATTACTATTAATAAGAACTATTAGTTTATAAAAGAGAGGGTAGTGTAATAATTTACATAAATTGTTTTATCTTAGGTGGCCTAACAAGCTAATATCTAAAGGGTTCTTATATTAGCTCTAACTCTAACCTAGCTCTACCCTCTACCCTCTACTGTACCTCTATTCCTCTAAGTATTTAGTCGCACCTCTTCTCTTAGCTAGTTTAGTAGTTTTCTAATATCCTTTTATATAGAGCCTATAGGTGTTAATAACATTCCTAGGTTACTAAGTCCCTACGCACTCCTATATGCCTCTAAGTAGATTCATACCGCATTTAGACCCATTGTCTTGCCTGTGTCGTTACACTAACCTTGTTACACTAACCCCTCTCTTAATAGTCTTAGTCTCTAAGACATAAGGCTAAGGATATATATCTACTCTACTTTAATTATAGCCTCTGCTATAATTTAAGCTAGAGTAATTACTAGAACTTAAACTCTTAACTTTTAAGTAGCTTAAGTATTATGTAATAAGGTAGGCGCCCTGCCTACTAAGTTAATACTATACAACTTTCCTACTGCACTAAAAGATACACATAAGAATACTTAAGCTAAGTATTCTTACATAGTATAATATATATATAGATAATGCTAGGGTTAGCAATAGCACTAGCGGCTGCCTCTAGTCTAGCCTAAACCTTTATAAGCGAGAGAAGGCCACGTGGTTAACTATGCTAACCTTGTTACAAGTAATGCTTTTCTACTCAACTACTATAGATAGAGACTGCTAGCTATAAAAAAAAGTAGTGTAATAATTTACTTAAATTATTTTCTATCTTAGGTTGCTTAATAAACTAACATTTAAAGGTTTCTTATATCTACTCTAACTCTACCCTAGCTTCTACTGTACCTCTATTCCCCTAAGTATTTAGTTGCACCTCTTCTCTTAGCTAGCTTAGTAGTTTTCTAATATTCTTTGTATAAGGTCTATAGGTGTTAATAGAATTCCTAGGTTTCTAAGTCCCTACACACTTCTGTATGCTTCTAAGTAGATTCACACTGTATTTAAACCTGTTGTCTTGCCTACCCTGTTACAGTCTCTACCTCTTACACCTCTCTCTTCTCTAAGACTCTGTTAATGTTAGAAGACACCTAGCAATAGGAAGGTTAAGGTAAGATATTATAACAGTAGCTTACCTAACAGCTTATAACATAGAAAGAAGAAACACTTTAACTATTTTAAAGCAAACTATTAACTACACCGAACATTCTATAGTTAGACTTAATATAGATTAGTTTTAAAAAGTTTCTAAAGATACACCTTAGGTAGTATACAATTCTAGCACTCTAACTTACCTCTATGTTAGTGTCTTAGTCTACTATATGTAACGATTCTCACGAATTGTTCCATCTCGGGTCGCTCGGAACCTATCTGAAGGGTCCCTGTATCAGCCCCAACTATGACTTAATCCTGTCCCCCTGCAGTTACTCTTATTCCTCTTAAGTATTTAGTTGCACCTTTTCTCTTAGCTAGCTTAGTTGTTTTCTAATATTCTTTGTACAAGGCCTATAGGTGTTAATAGAAATTCCTAGGTTCTAAGTCCCTACGCACTTCTATATGCCTCTAAGTAGATTCCTACTACATTTAGACCTATTATCTTGCCTATGCTGTTACATTATATTAAAAAACTTACTTTTGCAAGTAACAACTTGATTAATAATATTATATTAATTATTTGTTTAACTATGTTTAAGCTTTAAAATGTGTCTAATTTAGTTTAGGTTGTAATACATATACACTGTTATATTAAACTACTTAGTTTATAGATAGAATACTAAAGACCTTTTATTAACTAAAGCCTTTAGGTTTAGAACTTTCTATTCTCTGTAGTTAGAATTGCCTTTAGAAAAGTTGTGTAGAATGCGCTAAGGTAGAAACTTAGAGACTACTAATAACTTATTAGGATTAGAGACAACTACTAATGCCTAACTCTCTACCACTAACCTCTAACTACTAACCTTAACAGCTAAACTCTCTTTTGTAAGACCTAAAGCTAAAAACCTACTAGATTTAGAGTTAAACTATAGTAACATAGCTTTAAAAAACCAAGTTGCTTAATTAAGAGCATAAATTAAGCAGGTAACTAGATTAAAAACTGTTCGTCTTAATTAACCCCTACTAACTACTAAATTACCCCTAATAATTCCTTAAATTACCTCTGCTACACTAATAGTAGAAGACCTTTTAGGCACTTCTAAGCTCTCTTAAAGCTACCTTACTAAACACACGCCTAAGATCTATATAAAAAAGGCCTAGGATTAGATGCAAACTATAGTTAACTGCTACTACTAGCTAGTTAACTAAAAGGTTAGCAACATAGTCTACTTAGACACTAAGAACCTAGCTATTTAAAAACCTAGCTAAAAACTATCTAAGTAATAAAAAAGCTCTTTTAAGGTACTTAAATAAGTTAGAAACTTATACTACTTAAAGCTACTTTTAAGGTTAAAGATACATAACATCTTTACACTAAATATACTTTATAAAGACCCTTAGAATCTGCTCTTAAAACAAAAACCTCTAAAGCCCCTAAAATTACTATTAATAGAGTAAAGAAGTAAGAAGTAGAGGAAATACTTACTAGTAAGCTCTACTAAAAAACACTTAAGTACTAAGTAAAATAAGTAGAACATAACTCTAACCTAGTCTAGTATAAGGCTTTAAATTTTATAAGTTCTCCTTATAAACTAAAGGCATAGATTACTTAGTAGATAATAAAGTATAAAAGTAAAAAGTTAATTTATAGTTATATATAATAGTATTATAACTCTATAGACATTGCGCTAGAAAGGTCTAACAGCAAGCTGTTAGACACTTTTTTTCTCTTTCTTTTATCTCTTCCTTTTAGACTTCTTTTAAACCCCCTTTACTTTATCTTTAGCTGCCTAAGAACGCTGCAATATCTACTTAAAGGTTAGACACTAAAGCCTCTAAGGCTAAAACCTAACAAAGCAGCTTAGTATTTTAGTAGAATAAGGCTGCCTAGACACTAGCTGTAGAAAGACTAGCTTCTTAACTTTTTACAACTTACACTATCTATACTAGGTTCTAAGCAAACTTTAAAATAGCTTTAAAAGCTCTTTTTATTTTTTTTACTTTTTATACTTTAGGCTGCTGCTTATAGCTTAAAATAGCTTTAAAAGACTTTAAAAAAATTTTTATAAAAAAAAAACTTACATGTGTAACAGCACAGGCAAGACAATAGGTCTAAATACAGTGGGAATCCACTTAGAGGCATATAGGAGTGCGTGGGGACTTAGAACCTAGGAATTTCTATTAACACCTATAAGCCTTGTACAAAGGATATTAGAAAACTACTAAGCTAGCTATAAAAGCAAGGTGCAACTAAATACATAAAGAAATAGAGGTAACTATAGAGAACAGAATTAAGTTATAGTTAGGGCTAATATAGGGACCCTTTAGGTAGATTTTAAACAACCTAAAATAAAACAATTTATAAGAATTATTACACTACTTCTCTCTTTATAAGCTAATAGTCTTTATATAGTGTTTAGAAAGTATTTAAAACTGCTTTAAAACTAATTTAAATAAAATATAATAAGTATAACTATCTTAACTAAAATTTCTTATTACTAAAAAAATAGACTAAAAACCTAATACTAATATAGTGCCTTTGTTATAATGTTTTTGTTTAGTAGTAACTAGTAGTGTAGTTATTATTAATATAGCAAATTTATTATTTATAGTAATAAGTGTTTGCTTACCTTACTTATATAGTCTAGTTAATATTATTAGTTTTTTTTTTAGCTATTATTTAAATCTCTACTTTATAGATACTATTATGCACTTAACATTTTATAGCTTAGTCTACTAACTAATTATAGTATTAAAGAAAATTACTATGCTGCTTTATCCTCTTTCTAGAGCCTTTTTAAAGGCATTTTAAGTTATCTACTTTTAAGCTGCCTACGCTCTTGCTTATAGCTTTTAAGTTAAGTTTTTTTATTAGTCTTTTAAATTAAAAAAATGTAAATATTACACCTTATGTCGCGTACAGCTATCTGTCTACATATATCCTTCTGCTGTGCTAGCTAGGAGGTTAACATTTTAGCAAACGCAACAGTTATAAGCCTAGTTTACAGCATAGTGTAGATAGTTAGCGCTTAAAAATTTGCGCACCCCTACTCTACTAATAGGATTACATTATCCTAGAGCACTGTGTGTTTAATTCCTACGCTTAGTAAAAAGCATTTAGGCAGTGCGTCTATTACAGAGGCTACCTTACTAGATCTGTCTCTAAGTTCTGTTGCTTAGGCTAGGGAGAGTGTGTTAAGGTTGTTTTACTATGTTTTACCTCTCTTGTTCCACAGTTTAAGCTAGGGGGTGTGTCGCGTACAGCTATCCGTCTACATATATCCTTCTGCTGTGCTAGCT